AGCCTGGCCTCCTGTGGGAGGGAGTTCCAAAGTCTGGGAGTAGCAACAGAAAAAGCCCTCTCCTTTGTCCCCACCATACTGCGAAGGCAGTGGGGCCAAGAGAAAGGCCTTTTCTAATGTTTTTAGTGCCCAAACAGGCTCATAAAGGGAGGCATGGTCCTTGAGATGGCCTGGACCCAAACTGTTTATGGTTTCATAGGTTAAAACCAATACTTTGAATTGTACCCAGAACTGGATCAACACCCAGTAGAGCTGCTGTAATAGGGGGCTTGATCCTTGTAACCAGCTCCAGTTAGCAATCTGGCTGCTACATTTTCAACTGCATTGAAAATTTCAGTTCCATTAATCATAGTACAGTATATCTTTTCAATTTACAAGTGAGTTTAACAGCAACAAACTAATGAAGAGTACCAACATTTCCTTCTCTGAATTAGTTTCCAGATACCATTATGTCTTTTTAAAAAATTCCTAGACCTCTTTGTCTACTCTAGAGGTGGGCAACACAGGGCTCATCGTAATATTTTTATAGCCCCCAAAGACCAGACCAGAAATATTCCAGTGGGGAAAATCCTTCTTAAATAAATACATATATTTACATATAATTGGCTCTCAAGTCCCTGGCCAAAAAGAAAAATTGAAACTGGAAATGACCATCCAGACATTTCTTGTGTTTTGTTTTGTTTGTTTTTAATAGCTGCTCCCAGCCATTTCCAAGCCCCATACAGACCATAGTTGGATCTGTGAAGAACAATATAACCCACCAGCCTGTTACGATTGTCAGCCTCTGGTCTACAGGATGCTAGTCTACAATAGATCACACATATTTTCTGTTTTGGCAGAAAAGCTGTCTTCCTTACGTAAAAATTTCACATGATCTGAGTGCTATTTCTCCCTCTCCATATCTTTTGGCTTTGCTGCTATTTCATATCAAGTGATTGCTTATCTAACAGTAGTTACCCGGAGCTGGTAAGTTCTTGGATGCTCTGTTTTGGAGCAATAGTTTCCATCTATGACAGCTAACCATTTCTTCTCTATGCTCTTCCGCTCCTGCTCCCTACAGAAAATCTCAAAAGGAATGGCTTTGATTTGATCGGCTACAAATTCCTGGTCTGGTCTAATCTGTGATGAGATGTTCGCGTATGCCAGGTAGTCAGAATCTTAATTATGCTGCCTTCCCTGTACCATCACCATAATTGATTACGTTCATAACAGATTCCACTTTGTTACTGTATTGTGGATCTTTAATTTTCTGGGCTATGTTCCTGAAATTCAAAAAATAATGTAACCTGTTGGATTTTGTTTCTTCTCGAGACTTTGTGCAGAGTATATACTCCACCAAATGTATCGGCTAAGACAAGTGATCCACCTGGTCAATGCTTAACCTTTGTATTGTAGCAATTTATTAGGACACATTAGTAGTACTTTTGGACTACTTAGAAGAGGTTATTTTATTACTGTGTCAAATACTCTGAAGGACTTCCACTACATTACCATAGTTGCATTGATTCCCCAACCACTCCTCTCTTGTTCAGTCATTGACACGTCTTCATTTGCATAAGCAATTGAGTATCTTTGTGAAAGGACCACACCAATATCCTTTTTGGATGCAACATATTATTATAAAAAGCAGTTTTATGATTTTGTAGCATTAATTGTTGTTCTGTCTGATAGTACTTCAAGACTGGGAATATGGAAACCATTCACCAAACTGAAAACTTATGGTTTTAGTCATTCTAAAATTCCACTCAACATCCTGCTTAGTATGTTGTTTTCTTGCTTCTTCAAGTATAACCAAACAAGGACAAAACTTAATCAGAATATTGATCATTCCAATAATGATAACTGCAATAATGTACTAAATCTCTATGTCTGCTTGAGCTGACATAACTCTGATGATACATATGTTAAGCAAAAGCCTACTTTGAAACTCTCTGCTGTTAGTAAATATTGATATGCTACATCCTTCTGCGTCAGTTGTATTTTTCCATGCTCATTTTAATATACTGTATTTTTTTCTGTATCATTACAGAAAGGCCCATAATTTTCTGATATGATTGCAGTGTCAAAATTAGCTAATTTAATGGGGGGGGGGAGGATGTCACTGCTGGGAATTATTACTGAGATAAAAGGAAATTTCACCCTGACATGTATTGGAACAGGAAAACACAGAAAATCAGATGACCATCAGATAGTAGCATTTTCTTTTAACATCTACATATGTGAGAAAAACCAAACTTCTTAATATCTCATTTGAAATAAACCTAAAAGAATCTGTGTAAGAGACATCAGGATATCCTCCTTGTATCTATCACTTCTTTTAAAAGGTGATAATTTCAATGGTTAGTATTTGGGGCAAATCAATCCCTTCTTTGCTCAAGAAATCTTGCTGCTTGACCAGGCAACCCAAAGCATTCCCATCTAAATGCAGAGATAATGATCCATCTGGCTTTACTATCCTCAAGGCTAAAACATATATTGGGCAACAGTGCAGGGTAATTGGGTGATGCTGGTGTACTCGGTGAGGCAGCAATATTTTTAACTAAAAAGGTGCCAAAAGAATCCCTTGGCTAGATGAAGGGTTAGAAATTGAACGATAAAAGCGTGAATCTGGAATATCTTCGAACAGAAGACAAATGTTAAGAGTCTAATGGGGAAATACAGCAGCTTTGGGCATTGCTTATTTCATTTTGCCGTATATCCACTTCAGATGTCCTTATGCCATGTACTGTTCTATTTAAATAAATGTATGCTTCATTTCATTTTACTTGGCCACAATATGATTTGCTACCAAGAGGGTAGGAAACTGGGGTGAGCTATTCACATATGGACGTATCCCATTTTCTATGAGACACTGCACCTTGTCAGATTCTGCCATGAACTACTGTGGGAGAACTTAAGTTTACAGTATTTTGATTTTTAAAAACTTATAGTGCATGTCAAAGCACACAAGTTTAGTCTAAACACACGAAAGGGAGCACAGCTCAGTTGGTAAAGCACATGTTCTGATTCAGGACATATCAGGTTCAGAGCATATCAGGTTCCTAAAATTCTGGAAAAGCACTGCTAGTCAGTGTTGTCAACACTGGCCTTGATAGATCAATAATCTGATGCATTATAAGATAGGGATGTAAATCTGAAATTGTCTTTATTTTCACATGAGACACTGACGTAATCTTTTCTTCTCACCTTTAAGATGGCAGATGTTTCATTGTTCCTCTCAGAACGATTTTCACCCCTTCAAGACAGATTCTTGAACATACTGTACCTAGAATAACTCCTGCTTCGCTGTGTAGACTTTTCCAAAAGCAAAAACACGGAATGGGTTGTTGTGTGATTTAGATCAATCAACATGTTCTAATTTGTTTGTTGCATGCGTGCATAAAAGGCACTAGTTTCCCACAGGAAAAATGCAGAGAAGTCAGCCCAGGGGGATGATTTCTGACTCATTCTTTCACTAGAGGTAAAGGGTTAGTTAACAGGTCCTCAACAAACTATCTTGAGGAAAAAACAGTAACTTGGCAAAGAAATGAAACACCAGTGAGAGTTTTTCACATTCCCAGTATAAGGTAACTTCCTGTATTCCAGCCTCAAGATTGCTGTGTTGGACGAGACCTTAGCTCAATAGTAGAAACCAAGCTTCACATGTCAGACAACTCAACTAGTCAACTTTAATCCTTGGTTTCTCTTTAAAAAAAACCTGCCCAAAACCCGGGACATCTGGCTGCTACAATTCAGTGCTGACATTACCAGTCTAGATGGACCGTGGGTCTAACTCAGCATAAGGCACCTTCCTGTCTTTTCCTACTTAACCAAATTTAGCTGGGCTAAATGTTCTGAGTTATATTCTTTATCAGTTTGTAAGGGGAAAAACACACCAATCCCTTTTGCCTTCTGTTCACACAGTATTTAGCAATCCAAAATTATTACCGGTATGTAAAATAATAATATGATATAAAAAGGAGAAATTATCAGGAAAAAACATGAAAACGCCTTGAAAATCTGTGCAACAAGAAAACAGAAGCGTATTTTCTAAACAATCATACCTGACAAATAAAATCCACTGTCTCAAGAACTTATCTGTTGTAGTTTCTTTTTCTAATTTTAGTTATACACATTAATAAAATACAAGCAGAAAAATTATTAAATCCTATGAATCCATTCAAACATGGAGAGTAGATTCTGTTATTTCCTTATTTTGATGGTGTATATGCCCTGTTGATTGTTAGAAAACAAGCGACCTTTACTGTCTTCTAGTAAAATCACTCCACTAACATAATCAAACAGACCATTTTAAAATTATATTATATTTGACATACTGTTATAAATGTCTTTCAAAAAAGACATTCTTCTCCAAATGTAATTATTTAACATCTTTGAATTAAATAACCTTTCTTTTCCTGATGTGACACAACTCACTGATTGTTGAGAACCCAGAATATGAGAATCTTCAATTCCAATACATATACCCATGTTTTACATATTAGATTGATTTTGCTTTTTTTTAAGGTCAGGCAGATGGCAAATGGGGGAGGGGAAGAGTTATGTTAGATACAGCACCCTTGTTATAGAAATTTCTCTGTTAAGGGTGCTTGCTTAACACTCTGATATCCTTTTAGTGCCAGTCAAAAACCATTTTTAAATCTTCCCAGCCTTTTAAACTATTGAGATTATTTTATAGCACAACAATTCACTCTTTTAAACATCATATAGAAAGACCCATGGGACAACTATTTTAAATAAATACGTTAATCCTCTATTATGAGATACTCTTAGTAAAAACTCAGATGGGCTTCTTGCACATTTAGAGTGCATGAAATTTAAAATTCATCAAAAGGATTGTGAATGCTGGATGATTTTCCTAATATTTCCTTTTCCTATAACTATGGTTTTTCAAAAAGAGAAAGAGGTAAATAAAATTGCATGTGTCTGCACGCATGCATGTGTGTGCATGCACGCACGCACTCACACATACTAGTATATGCAGCTTATATATCTCTTACCTTCTGCAATAAGAGAGAACCAGAATACTTTGTGACAATGTAATACAAGTCCTCACCAAAGGCATCAGCCCAGGATTTCACTCTGCACATGAAACAAAACACAGCAAACAGAAGTGATATTAGTAAGTCTGCATCTGACAGTCTGTACACCAGGACATAAGGCAAAAAATAATGAAAGATTAAAAAATAAAGACAAAATTTGATACCTTAAAGACTACTGCTACATTTTAGTGTGAGTTCTGTGGACATGTCCACTTCTTCAGACATCATCATATGTCTGAGGAAGTGGATTTGTCCACGAAAGCTCACATTAAAATATAGCAGTTGGTTTTAAGGTGGCACAACAATTTTGCCTTCTTAATTCTTTATTTTGTTTTCGCCTGATATGCATGGATACCTCTTCTAGAACAAACCAGGAGGAACTAGTCTGGCTGGTCCAAATGCTGAAATCTCCCTCTGCCAGCTATCTTCTCCATATTCTGGGGTCCCAGATTCATGAGTAAGGCCTATGTCCCTGTCACCACACCCATCTGCTTGCTCTCGGAATCCACTTCCTCTTGCTGTTGTTCACTTGTCTGGAGCGAAGCACTGAATGAGCAGCTACAAGGAGTAGGAGGAGCAGGGCTGGGGCTCAGCCTTCCTTCAGCCAGCTCTTCTCTCTGCCACTGTAAAGTAGCAACTGGCCAGCAACTGACTGCGACAGGTGCATACATGTTCAGGGCACATCAGCCACTGATGTTGAGTAGCAAACATAAGTGAAGGGCAAGACTCTGTTTCATGGCCCAGCTTGCCATGTTACACTCCCATATGCTTGCACAGAGGCCATGTGAACCTAAACCACAAATACTGTATAGATGTATCAGCCTCCTCAAGAAAGCTATGCATACATGACTAGACATGAGGCAGAACCATCTGACAATACTGGTATGGATTACCTCCCTTATGAGGAAAGGCTACAGCGTTTGGGGCTCTTTAGGGAAAAAGCGCCTGAGGGAGGACACAATTGAGACGTATAAAATTATGCAGGGGATGGATAAAATGGATAGAGGGAAGCTCTTTTCCCTCTCATGCAATACTAGAACCAGGGGACATCCACTCAAAGTGTTGGTAGAGTGAGGACAGACAATAGAAAATATTTCTTTTCTCTCGCCACAGGATGTGGTGATAGCATCTGGCCTATATGCCTTTACAGCAAAAGGGGATTGGACAGATTCCTGGAGGAAAAGTCCATTGCAAGATACAAGCCATGATGGGGATGTATAATTTCCAGGCTTAAAAGGAAGGTACTTCAAAATGCCAGATGCAGGAGTATAGTATCTGGAGACAGGGATCTAGTTGTCTCGTGTTCTCCCAGAGGCATCTGTTGGGGCCACTGTGAGATACAGGGAGCTGTACTGGATGGGCCCCTGGCCTGATCCAGCAGGGCTCTTCTTATGTTCTTATGTACTCAAAAGGTGTTGGTTTTAGTGGGAGGTTTTGGACAGAAGCTGGCTAGCTATGCGTACTTCTCAGGAGAATTTTAATAATGGTTTGTCTGCATGTGCAGGATTTACAGGTATGGAGTAGTGACATACATAATTGCTTATTTCATCTTTGCAGGTATAAACCAACTGTTTCAGAAGTTTTCATCCCCTTTGTGATTATAGGAGGTTTTGTACATTTTTTTCAGATTTCAGGGCTGTTGTTTTGCAAAAAATTGCAGAAGAGGGGGTAGTTTACGACATTGGAGGGGGAATTAGAGATTTAGGAGGAAAGGAGTAAGTGTCAGTGGATAGCTATGCAGTTTGATATTGAAACTAATATACCAAATTGTTTAATAATAACTGAAAATAAAAACCATATGGAGAAATTCACAGGATGTATAACTTGCTGCACTGCTGTATTGAGTCACATTCTTGAACCTCTTTACTTCAGTAAGATTTTAACAGTCTAGTGGTGTATAAGACAGCAGCACAACACTTCCAAAACATCAGCGGTTTTAAAACTACATTGTGTTGTTATGCAATATTGATACTAGAGGCATAAATCTCTTTAAATTAATCTGCCTAGAATAGCATGTTATTCCATTCTTCTTGACAATACACTTCAACACACATATAGGATAACATATTTATGTTTCTTTCAAGAGTCTCATTGACTACATTTTGATTGCAGGTCCTTGTAAACTTGTCCATAGCTGGGTGGTTTGATTGTAATCATTATTCACTACCAATTTTTGTTGTAATATATATCTGAAGGAAGGATACTCCCAGCCTCAAAGCTTGAGCTATATTTGACATCGGTGGAGTTATGTCATCGGACACTGGTCTGCCCCAACCACATCCAACATGGAAAATGGGAAGTGCATGTAGTCCTGTTCCGTTGTGCTCCATTGCCACATCTTATTATTGCATGGGGGGGGGGAAGCAAGTCCTCCCTCCTCCACATGCCCTCACCATTTCAAGCCTCCCACAAGTTGCAATTGGGAGATTTCCTGCACAATTTAGAGCCCTGGAAAAACATTATTCTAAATTATGCAGGGAAAACTGCATCAGTAGTAGTGTCAGCCTACAGAGTTTTGGGAGTTAAAAATGGTAGCAGAAACTTGTTGGCATAAACGTCTTTGTCTTTTCCCTTTGCATGGGTACTGTGGTGACCCATCCTGTTACTTTATTAGGCTTGAAATAAAACTGTGAAATAGTGGTTAGAGTGTGGGACTAACTCTTGGGAAGCCTGGTTTTAGAATTATAGAATTGAGTCAGAAGGGGCCTATATAAGGTCATTGAGTCCAACCCCCTGCACTCAGTGAAGGAATACAAACCAAAGCCACAATGGAATTTAAATCCCATTTAGTCATGATATAGCCCAGTCACACTCCTTCTATCTGAGCTACTGCACTGGACTGTTATAAGAGTAGATTTGGAAGAGAGTCCTACATGCTGTGTGTCATCTTGTTCTTTGCCTCAGGTGATAAAATGGCTTTGCATGCCCTGGAGAAGGAAATACTGTGTAGCAAATAGCCTCTGCCTTTCCTCTTATCCGAAATTGAATGAACCACTGTATGGGTCTGTTTTTAACGGCCTCACCAAAAATCCTCAGGCTGCTTTCTAAGTGATCTTTTCCTTTCTAAGTGATCTTTTCTTTTCTAAGTGATCTTCACCACAAGGCTGAAGCCCAGTCAGAATGAGGGAACAACTGCCTAGGCCTAGCCTGCAGAACATTCTGGAAACATATGCTGTTCTATGGAGAAGTGAGGCAAAAGAAAAAAAAAAGCACTTCTTTGCATCTTCAGCTCTTGAAAAAAAAAATGCTTCAGAACTCTTTGACTCAAAAGGGGGCAAAAAAAAGAGAGATCTCTTTAATCTCAACCTACTCTAGTCCCTGGTGTACAGCAAGGCCCTGTGTGAAGGGTGTTTGTTGATGAGAAAAATCTCAACAGCTACCTAGGAGAAAGCTTCAGCTGAAGCATTTTTCTTTGCTCCAGGCCTAGTGCACCGTTTCCATGAGAATTTGTACAATACTCAATTTCCCCTCTCTGTCCCTGCCTCTGGGTTGTTTTAAAGACAGGAGATAAGCAAGAAAAAGAAAAGGGAGTCAATTGGCACTGCCTTGTGGGAACGTTTAGAGAAACAATTGTTTTAAAATAGGGAATAATGGGAGGGGGCACTTCTGAAAATAATATATAATTCTGTTAGAAATATGATCAGTTATATAAGCACGAGTTGTAAGCTGTTAGGTATTCTGTCGGCCTATTACACGTGGTAGCTTTCAGTTTTGGTAACAGCTATTTGTTTGAATAAATCAAGTGCTGGAAGGAATACATTTGCTGACCAACTTCTTATTCTTTTTCCTCACCTGCCCAGATCTTCTGATCCACCTGTGGGTCTGCCCAGAGGCCAGTATTTTTCAAATTTGCATCTTGCCAATATCCGCAGCCTGAATATAGATCTTTACACAGATCTTCCTTAACCCACATCCTCTATTATTTTGATATAGGAAGAGCAAGTTATTAGCATTACAATTCCACATAGCCAGACAAAAGCGGAGTTCTTTCCAGGGCTGGCTAACAGCCCAGGATTTCAACACCCAAAAGGGAGGTTGTTAGTGAAGGTCTGCAAATTTCACACCCCCGCAAAAGCTTCCTCCGCACTATCCCCAGAATTCTTGCAGCAGAATATTGGTTTGAATAAGGTGTTAATTGTTATAAGTTAATGAAATAAATTCACCAATTTATAATAGCCAAATGGCATTTTGAGTAGAGTAGAGGAAACAAGGGGAGAGGGGAAGTTTGCTAGCACCAGACTGTGAATGTGTGAGAAAGACGTCTTACATTATTCACATATGTACATACCATTTATGTCAAACAATATAGAAGCAGATGGCGAGTGGAAATTCAATTTGTTGTTGTTTTTACGTGAAAAGAGGGAGCAAATACTTCTGGGAGAAGACACAGAATACTGATAGAGATAGCTTGGAGACAGCACAAGGCTAAGTAGAATGGATAATGGAGCCATGAAAAAGAGAAGGCCACTTACGTTTCGAGTGGTATCTTTATCTGGGACCTGGTGAAAGGCAGGAAGCAGCTGAGTGAGAGAAATAGCCACAAAAGGCCACTTGGCAGCATTCTCCACACCAAAACCTTCAGCAGCTCGATCAGTTGCATAGATGCACAGATTCTTAATTATGTTTATTTTAGGATGGTCCTGGCATCAGGTGGTCAAGCCCCAGCATGATGCTCTGCTGGGGTGAAAGTGGGAGAGCAAAAGTCTGGGAACCTCTAATCCTTCATCCTGTAATACGACACAGGAACTCTTCTTCCCACTTCTTTTCCAATGGACTACAGCCCCCGAGAGGGGAACAACATGCTAAACTCCACAAAGAGCGTCCTGGACTCAGTTAGATGGGGACACTTGAGGAAATCAACCGCTCCATGGCTGCGAAGGATGACCATAGGAATTCAGCTTCCATGCCCTGCAGGAATGGCAGACTAAGAGGGTAACTCTGCAAACGGCAGAAACAGCAGTGGCTACGTAATCCACTGCCAGCCCTTTAATCCCTTAGTAGAGCAGCAACAGCAGCAGATTTAGGGAACTGGAGTGGGATAAAATCAGCCAGGATTACTCTGATTTCTACAGACAGGCATCAGTCTGTCCAATCAGAGATTTGAACTAGCCAACTCCAACCCTACTTTAAAGGGACATGGCATGATGACTCCGAAAGTAAAAAGACTGCCTGATCTTTGATTGTTACAAATCAGCACTTGGTCTTGATATTACAGTATAATGGACATGAGCATGCCTGCCTTATATCTCTCTGCTCTGTCCTCCAAATCCAGTTTAGTTCTTTGTTTCTAGACCTTTTCCCATCCCCTTGGAAGTATTAAATACATTGGACCAAAAATCCTGTTTTCCATTAGGTGCATGAAACCCTGGTGAGCCCAAAGGAAATAATTTAGATCATGGGGTGGGGGGGAAGAGGTTACTTACCTGTAACCATGGTCCTCCACACAAATGGGTTTTACTGCACTTGTGCAGGGCCTCTCTGAATATTCTAGAGCCTAAAAAGATGTGATTAATAGGACGTTGCCCCGTGGCGCGCATGCTTTGCCCGCCCGTATTGCCTCAGTTCCGAATGTCCAATGCTGTCAAAGCTCTGATACCCACAAAGCTCAAGACAACAAGTGACGGACAGCGGGGAGGCTGGGCGGGATGTGTGGATTCACAGAGGACCACTTGAAGAACCATGGTTACAGGCAAGTAACCGGTCTTTCTTCTTTGTGACCTCTGTGAATCCACACAAAGGTGTGACTAGCAAGCTCACTTACTGAAAGGAGATCCATCACACCAATAGTGAAGTCAGCACAGCTTTTCCTAAACTTGCTTCCTTCTTGGCCCTGACATCAAGACACCAGTGTATCACAAAAGTCGAGAGTGTAAACCACATGGCCACTCAACAGATGTCAGGGACTTTAAAACCGGTTCTTTCAGGAGCCTGAGACGGAGGTTTGTAGGGGAGAGTGCAAACCAAGTGGCCACTCGACAGATGTCAGGGACTTCAAAACCGGTTCTTTTAGGAGCCTGAGACGGAGGTTTGTAGGGGTGGTAGGGATGTTGATAAGATTGATGAAAAGTAAAGGGTTTGCACTATTGATTGTGCTGGTACCTAGGTTGCTGAATGGCATATAATCGAGCAGTCTTGTGAATTTTGTGCAAGTTTTCCATGACATAATCGGTCTTTTCGTTGAAGAGACCTGCGCCGTCAAAAGGTAGCTCCTCGATGCAAGTCCTAGCATCATTCATGATTCTGGAGGACCGCACCCATGCATGTTGTCTAAGGGTGATGGAGGAAACTAGAGACTTAGAAGCCGCATCAGCAATGTGATGGGCCGCCAGATGTTGTTGTTTGGCTAGAGTAATTGCCTCAAGGTGAATGTTGAGAGCTGCAGTTCTGACGTCCTCTGGAGTAGTTTGGAGGATAGGCAGGATTTTATTCCACAGCCTGTGGTATGCCCCCATCGTGGCCTGGTAGTTGGATACCCTAATCACAAAGGAGGCCACCAAGTACAAATGGCATACTAAGACGTCTAGTTTTCTCCCTTCTTTATTGGTAGGGGTAACTGATGATCGGTTGCCTGCTCTGGATTGGTTTGATTGGACAATGATGGAATTTGGCAGAGGATGTTTAATTAGAAATGATGTATCGGTGATGTGGGTGCGATAGTGATTCTCCACTTGTCTGGGAATCTGTAGAGATGTTGAAGACTTGTCCCAAGACTCCTTAATGTCCATTATTGCTGGGACAAATGTTAAACTCAATGGTGGAGATTTTTCCTGATTAATGTCTTCAAAAATAAGATCATGCTTCGGGAGAGCGGATTGTTCAGTATCCAATTCTAGTGACTTGGCCATATGCAAAATAAGTTGAGCATAGGAGGTAAAATCCTCAGAAGGGGATAGTGGGTGTACATCAGCAACATCTGGATCTGGGGTAGGTAGATGTGAAGGTGATTTCCCCAGATGACTCTGAGGGGGGGCTTGATCAGAAACCAAAGATACCAAAGAGTGCTCAGAGAGTGAAAGGGTTGGTGATGGAGAGCGATGATTATGTCTAGAGACTGACACCAGAGGAGCTGGGACCTGAAGATCAAGACGTGATGTAGATATGGGGACACTACGTTGCAAAGTTGATGTGTCATTGGTACCAAAGAGTGCTTTGGTCAAGTAGGTTCACGACAAGTTGATTTATGTTGATCTGGAGCTCAGTCACAAAGAGGTACTTCAGTGACAGGCACCTGGTGCTTTGACTTTTTAGCCTTCAATACCGCTGGAACAGGCTTCATACTGACTCGATGTCGACGCCGGATAGGAGATAGTGATGGTTAAGGTGATGACTGAGACAGTTCGTAGGCATATCATGCACGTTTGCAATATTGATAGTATTCTGGAAGAAAAGCTGGATTGTAGTGCTCGTATCGACACCGACAGTGGTCACCATACCGATTGGTATCGAAAGGCTGCTAAATCTCACATATCCATGACGGGCCCAGTGTTGAGAGGAATGAGGGACAAATACCACCTCTCAATATTGTGGTGGTGAAGAGATATGGTGTCTCTTTGTCATCCTCTTTCTTAGAAGAGACTGCGAGATCGATGCCTCAGAGTTAAAAAGGTGTATAACGGTCACCCACCCGGTCGAAACAGAATGGGCCGAGGCCGGGCTGGATAGGATATCCACCTCTGAACGGCCGTGACTGGGTGACAAGCTTGGAATCAAAACCAACACTTGAGCCTGAGCAGGGAGGCTTGACTCTCCTGCTTCAGAAGGCAGAACCTCGGTCTGGAACCTCTCTCGATGATGCCTCCAAAATTTGATCTTTTCTTTTTCTTTCTTATTTTTTCCAGATTGGGTCTTGGCCGAAATGGAAGAGGTCTTTGACATCGACGTTGATGTTGATACCGATGGTGATTTTGATTTACAAACCTTCGAGGAAGTTCTTGGTGACAGCATGGGAACCACCAGGATAGAAGACTCAGATCAAGTCAGTGGAATTGGGGTGAATTCCATAGTAGGGCTAGTCGGCTGACTGGCTGGTGCCAAGGATTTCTCCCACAAATGGGATCTGAGGTGTTGGAGTCAGAGTTTTAGGGCTGGTTTAGTCAATTTCTTGCACTCCGCACAGTTTTGAGTTTGATGGCTCTTGCCCAAACAGAATAAGCAGCTATCGTGGCCGTTGGAGAATTGAATTTTACTGGCACATGTTGCCCAACATTTGAAAGGGCCTGAGAAGGCCATTAAAAAACAGCGGGAAGGAAAGGGGGTAAAAGGGGAAAGAGCAAAGAAAATAACTCACAGGGAAACATCCGAAATGAAAAACTTGATTTAGTCCATTAGGCAAAAGAGTAGTCATAATCAGTCCAAAATTCAGAATACCGTTAACAATCAAGAATAAGAATCACAAGCTCTAGGTCAAAAGAAGTCCGATTTCAGTGGTGGCTAAAAGGAACTGAGGGTAATATGGGTGGGCAGAGCATGTGCGCTACGGGGCAACGTCCTACTAATCACGTCTTTTTAAGCTCTAGAATATTCCGATAAGTCCTGTGCAGGTGCAGTAAAACCCATTTGTGTGAATTCACAGAGGCCGCAAAGAAGAATCAACTGCTCATTATATCAGAATTATCAGTTGTCAGATGCCTGCCTGTCTCTCCCACCTTTACCTGTCTTCTTGCTGGTTTTATGCAACTGTCTCTAAATACAGTGGTGCCCCGTATAGCGAGGTTAATCCGTTCCGGATTAACCTTCGCTATACGAAAACATCGCTGTGCGGGTAAGGAAAGCCTATTGGAACGCATTAAACTTAGTTTAATGCATTCCAATAAGCGTCGAAACTTACCCCTCCAGCGATGTTTTCGCGTCCGGCGGCCGCGGATGACCCAAAATGCCCCCCCTGCAGCGTTTTCGCAACCTCCGTAAGCAAGGGGAGGGCGCGAAAACACTGATAGGGGCCATTTCGGGTCATGCGGCGGCCATTTTGGAGCCGCCAATCAGCTGTTCGGCAGCTCCAAAATGGCCGCCGGACGCCCCAATCGTCGCAAAGCGAGTGCGGCGATTGGGGCTGATCCGTATAGCGATCCCCAAAAAGGGATCGCTATACGGATTCTTCGTTAAACGGTGCGCTCGTTAAGCGAGGCACTACTGTACCTTCTACAAACTCCCTCCAGCTTTATAGCTAGCTTTTCAGTTTTAGTTAATCATTATACATATTGATATTATTGCGTACTGTCAGATCATATTAAATTTAGTGACACAACTAGATGGGGGAATTTGGATCATATTTAAAAGACTCTTCTCTTCAATACAATAATATATTTTATCTCATATTTCAGTGATCCTTCAGCTCAAATAGGAAATGCTTCTTCTCCTGTGAGAAGGATCCAGATAGCACTTCAGATCATTCCAATTTCTCCCCCCCTTTTGATTATTGATGCTCCTTTCTCTGTATTTTGTTGTTGTTTAATTTTTGTTGTTGTTTAATTTAGTCAGTGACATAGTGCTACAGCAATACATCAACTTACCATGGATACTCCCTTCTATCTGAAATAGCATTTTATCACTTATGAGAATATTTTTTAAAATCGTGAGAAGGACAAAATAAAGGAAAGGGGTTCTCTGCCATCTTTTCTACTATTATACAACCGACTGCATATATCACAGGGTTGTCACCAAAGATAATGCCTCTCACTGCTCTATTTAGGAACAAATTAAACAACCACATAGATTTAAAAATTGAATAATCAGGCGTGCTCCCAATTACACCAAATAAACTGCAGCCCTAGAATTGTTCCAGAAAGGAGCAGAACAGCTTGCAAAAGGGGCAGGATGGATCGTTCGTACTTAAAAATACATGTGGTTGCCATAAAATAGGGCAAACCGAACCACCCAAAAAATGAACCAAATAGCAAAATACATGCTTGTCTCATTGCCCTCTTAGTGACCTTACTAGGGTTTTCAAGGAATGGGAGATATTTAAGAAATAGTTTTACCATTGGCACCCTCCCCCCGTGAGTTTCCATTGTCAAGCAATCATTCAAACCTAGATTTCCTGACGCATAGTCCACTACTCTGCTCACTATGCAAATTAGAACTTAAAATACTTATATTATTGTTCCAGCATTTTGCATAAATTTTTTATTGTTTTTGTTAGCCAATCTGGGATGTTCCCACGAAAGAAAAGGTGGTTATTAGCTAATCACTGCCACAACTAAACAGTAGTTTTCTTGTGCAATAGTTTAGGTTGATACTCTAAAGCAGAGATGGTGAACCTATGGCATGCGTGCCACAGCTGGCATTCAGAGCCCTCTCTGTGAGCACGTGAGCCATAAGTCACTGGATCACTACCCCCAGCAGCCAAACCTGAAGAGGTGGCTGTAGCCAAAGTGCTAGCATGGTGACCGGTGGTGGGCCAGGATCCGGAGCAGCTGGTGCTGGCGGTGGCAGGCTGGCCAAGCTATAGGTAGTGGCGGGGTTGAGTATGACTGGAGGCAGATCCGGAGTGGGGTCTGTGCGCGGGACTCCCATTTCCACCACCACTTCTGCTGCTACCGCTACAGCCACCTGCCACCCACTAGGTTGTTGCTGTTGTTGTTGTTGTTGTTTTTTTTTTTTTGGCAGTTTGTGCACCTGGGGTCAAAAAAGTTCACCATCACACCTCTAAAGTTTAAATAGAAGCAAAGGAAGCATTTTCATGCCTGCTTGTATTCAGAATCAAGCTCAGTAATGGTACCCACAGTCTTTACAATCCTGTACTAAGTCTGATTAAGGAGAACATCTGTGGGAGTCTTCAAGGACTTTTTAATGATCCTCATGACTCCTCAGGATGACCATTAGCACCAAGAAAATGTTAGATTTTGTGAAAGTCATATGGGTCATAAAGGCCAAGGAACATGCATACTAGGAAAGAACTCTTGAGAGTAGACCACTGGGAGAAAGGGTGAAGATCGAGGTGTTGTGAAAGTCTATTTTTCCTCAAGATTATATTTTTTTACAACCCAAAGTACCAGCAGCAGCCTATTGCAATGTATAAATCTGCAATGAAACAATGTTTTTGAAAGTGGTATATGTTTTCATAAGGCAGTGTTTTGTGAGCTACTTTGAGTCTAATTTACAATGGGAGAAAGCATATTATAAATAAACTACATTTATTTTAATTTTAAAAAAGTTCTTACCTGCTCCAGACTAATACCTTAATGGTATTTCTTTGGATGCCATCGTGGGCTTTTCCCTGCCAGGACTTTATTTATATAGCTTTCCCTGTTTCCATAATAATTCTGTGTCCTTTCTTTATTACCATCTCCACACAAGAATTCGTGGTTGTTCATGAATTTGTGTACCTTGGCTCAACGATCTCTGACACTCTCTCCCTAGATGTCGAGCTGGATAAACGCACTGGCAAAGCAGCTACCATGTTCTCAAGACTCACAAAGAGAGTATGGCTCAAGAAGAAGCTGACGGCATACACCAAGATCCAGGTCTACAGAGCCTGTGTCCTGTGCACATTCTTGTACTGCAGTGAGTCCTGGACCCTTTGTTTATAGCAGGAGAGGAAGCTGAATACGTTCCATATGTGTTGTCTCCAACACATTTTTGATATCACCTCACAGGACAAAGTTCCAAATAGAGTAGTCCTAGAATGAGCTGGATTTTTTAGCATGTATTCATTACTGAAACAGCAACGTCTACGTTGGCTTGGACATGTCGTGAGAATGGCTGATGGTCGGATTCCAAAAGATCTCCTGTATAGAGAACTATTGCAGGGAAATCGCCCCAGAGGGAGACCACAGCTGCGATACAAGGATATCTGCAAGTGGGATCTGAAGGCCTAGGAATGGACCTCAACAGATGGGAAACCTTG